AGATTTTGTTCCAATTAATTATTATTTTGAACCGATGATGAATGCATATCTACAATTGCGTGATGATTTGACTATTCAAATATTAATTTACAAAGATATTTTACATAGGTCAAGGTAACGAGAATAATTGAAATGAAAGTTTATTTGATATGTCAACAGTTGTATTATCTGATTAATCATTGTCAATTGAATCAAACGTGATTTATAATTATAACACAAATCGAATAGATAATCAATGTTTCTTAAGATAGTTTCCAAACTTTCAAAAGTGGTTTGTTAAGAATGTTAGTGTTTGTATTTATTATTCATCTATTTGTAAACAACAAAACTATTAGATCATTTAATGATTCTTCTAAAAGGATTAACCATTGAGCAAAACTTTGACTCAAGTCAGTGAACTGATGTAAAAACATACTTAAAATTCTCACACTCGAAAAGCATTTTTTTTATCTGTTTTATGTATGATCGACTTTGGAAGAATAATTGTACAGCATTTGATTTCATTGGGAAATTTTTCTATTTTAACATAAGTAAGAAAGATAATGACGAAGAAAAGAAATTCAAAGAGTTCATTGCCATTTCATTCAATTTTTTCTTCATATGTTTGCATTACATTTTTTGTTCATTAATAAAACATAATTTCGGCACTTGTGGGTTTCAATCGTTTTATAATTAAATCGAATCGAATTAAAAAATACTTATATGTTGGAAATTTATTAATTTCACTATTTTAATCTTATCATAATTATGAATTAAAATTAAAATACAAAAATAAGTTTTATTGTTCATATTTAGTTAAATGATAAATGATTTATTAATTGTTACTAATCTGTTTGTGGAAATAACAATTAAATGACTTTTTAAGAGTTAAAATTTGAATGTAAAGATAATTCTATTCAGGAAAATCTTTGTTTCAAAACATTAATATTTCTTTTTTGAATTATTTTCAAACTTCTCACATTTTTGTCGTACTTCGAAGACATGTAACATTTTAATTCTAACTTATATACTTCTCGACAGTTGCAACGCTCGATAGGAAGAAGTTAGAAGATACCCGAACATTAAATTCTCTAACAAAAAGGACATAAATCATAACATTTTGTAACTTCACAAATGTAAAAAGATGAATGAACTATTCCTCATCATAATGAAAAATATTATGACATAAGAGAGGAAGAAATTTTGTCATTTCATTTCTTTAAACTTTAATTCATTTTGTCTCGAAATTTGGAATAACAATAAACTATTGAACTTATTCTAATTCATACGTTTATTAAATAGTACAAGTTAATACTTAGAAGCGGTTGAGTGTTTATAAAAACTTGAACAATCTTTCATTAATCATTTTGAAATTAATATTTAAGAAACTTTTGTTTACGTTCACATGCAAACTCAATCTCTAAATTCAGAATTAACAGCTTGAAACAAAGTATGTTTGCGTTAGCAATTTGATTTGAAATAACATTTAAAACTCTTTACTGCTTATTTTTACAATATCTAACCATTCTTTCATTCCTATTTTCCTACAACAGAAGAACATATACATAGCACAATCATCATGTCTTAAAAAGAAGGAAAAAGAGAGAATTGATGTTTGGAGCTTGTTAAATAAATGACTTCATTCAACTCTGTTTAAATAAACATTGAGAACTGATTATTTGGCAAATAAAGAAAAAGTTCTCATTACGATTCATTAAATTACGTAGGACTCGAATTAATCTAGTTTATGTCAATAAAACATTGAGAAAATATATGCAAAATTTTCCACAAAAGCAGATTTCCAATATTTACATTTTGTGTGACACTTAAAGATTTTTTTGAGGGATTATTTCGCTTCAGTGATATTATTTAGCTTCTGTAATATACTAAACTGAGAATATGATAATGATATTAGGCATTTACGCATCAAGTAGATTTTTTTTCATTCTGATTCTACAAGTTTAATTAAACAGAACATAAAACTTGGAATTTCACAGCAAGCAAGATTTCGCCACAAAAATTTCAACCTTATAAAATGCAAAAACAAAAGATGATTTCACTAATTAAATTCCCATGATGATAAAACTTTTTCTTTTCTTTTTTTAAAAGCTGTTGAAACAAGAAAATAAATGGCAAAAATAAATGCAATTTTCACCAGATCTTTGTGGTCGCATCTTTCGTTTTTCTTCTGTCTCAGTGATTTATCCTCAATTTTTCTTTTTTTATATCACTGTAATATAAAAAGCGCTCCAAACGTTTTTATCTCTTTCTTCCCGTCGTCTTCGGGTTTATTGCTCATTACAAAGAATCATTTGTGGAAGTATACTATGGAAAACATAAGCATACCAATTGCGTTGAGACTATTTCTTTACAATTTTTTGAGATTATGGTCTTCATTCAAATGGTTTTGCTTTCTTTCGCGTATTCTGAGGATGTGCTATCCTTACTGAACCATCTTTTCATTGAGGATTTCCTTTGTCTTTATCATAAATAATTCATCAATTCTACATTTTTATATCTGCTTATATGATGCTAAGAACAAAAATATCTGTAAAAGATATTATTTAAGTCAGTCTTTCGACATCGCCTGACAAAGTTTACCACATAAATAAAATGTTTCTTTAAATTTTGGCATCATCAAAAAAAAAAGAAAAAAAGTTCTTTGACTGTGATACTCACAAATAACCAGCGTGAAAGCATTTAAGAGCAATTATTTATCCATTTTATACTTTCGTGGAATGCATGTGAACACCCATTAAATTAAACCCTTTAGTCAGTAAGAATAGAATTTAATTCTGAGATCAAATGTTCCGAGCAAAATAAAATGTCAATTTTATTTGTAAGCGACATTATATTCTTTATACAACCGATGTCTTCTCCAGTTTCATGAAAAGATTAATCAAACTGAATCGCATATCTGTTTCTAACGTTGAACGTACCCTTTCAACGCACATTAAAATCAAAGATAAATCTCCTTAATTCGTGTGTTTACAATTTCCGCCTATCGTCATAACACATCTACATAAAACGAACACCTGTCATAAGTGTTAGATTTCTGTCTCTTCCTTCAGCTTCATTCTTTTCAAATCTCATTAACAAACCAGAATGAGCTTTCGTGGTTTCATATCTCATTGAGATGTTGATAATTTAAAAATGAAATACTGTAATAAATAAATTAAATACCAGCAGAGTTTTCTTTATGAAAGCTTTTAACCTCAAGCATGATCAGATTTTAATTACCATAAACATATTCTCATTAATATGTTACCTTAAAATGTTTGGAACAATATTAAAGTATAAAACAATTGTTGAAAGAAAAAACACAAAGTAATAAGTGATTATCTAAGGATTATGAATACAAAGTGTGATTACTTAAAATTAATTACATACAACATTCAATCTTTCTACGCATTACTTGAAACTAAACTGAGCCTTCTTTTTCTCAGAATAATTTAATCAGATAATTAATGTTGTTAAGAGATACAATTTAAACCGCTTTCTCATTCGTCATTTTTCGTGATTAAATTTTCCCTTTGATCACAAAAAAAGAAAGTGTATGATTTTCTCCCTCCTTAAATCATTCAATTATTGCATTCCTTTACGTTTCTCTCTGATCTATTTCGACATATTCCAGTGTAGTGATTTAATTAATCGACTATAAAATGTTTTTGTAGCATCAGACAAAAAGACGCCAATTAATAAATAAAATTAATCAGTCAAAGTAATCTCTATGTTTGTATATGATCCTTTTGCTGTCTTATGGCAATGCTTTTTTATGTCCGTAAATCTTCTTGATACACTTTCGTCATAAAATTCTTTTATAACAACTAGGCAAAAAAAAACTTAAAGCCTTCTCTTCCATTAAGAGTGAAAAACAATCGTCAAATCACATCTCACATTAAAAATATTTCGTTCATCCAATAACCATAAAAAGTCTTTATTTTTTCTAAGGCGCTAGACAAATAAGCGGATCAAAAACTTTTTGTTTCGATTCTTTTTTGTGAAAAATCTTTTCTAAGCATAACTGGCACCCGGTTAGGATGCAAAACACTAAAGAATTCTTTATTGTTTCTTTTAATTAACTAAATATTTCGGCTTCAGTTTTGACATGATCCATAAAAATAACCATAAATGCTGAAGCATAAATGCTTCGTAATGTTTTTAGTGTGAAGAGAAATTTTGCAAAACAATAGCAATTAAATAAAATAAAGACAAAATATTCTAGAGTGTAGGCAGACGTTTCCAATCTAGTTTAAATTATGAAAATTGAAAGCTTTTAAAAAAATAAATGAATTCTATTGGAATCTCTGAAAGAATGAAACTTAATTGAGAAAATTTTTGTTTGTTCGCTTACATTACTTAACATAATCAATTATAAAAGTTTTAAATAAAACTTATCATATTGAAATTTCATAAACTTATTCAAAAGATGATCTAAATATGTATGTTCATAAAGTAAAGATTCGTTTTATTCATCTTGAGTTGAGAGGTTTCTTAGTTTAGAGTTTAAATTGAATTCGTTGATGACACTTGAGATGGGACAAGCAGCAGTATGAAATCTTTAATGGTGTTTGGATTATTTTAAAATTGAAAAGGAGAACATTTCACTCTTGTTTTCGAAAAGACTTCACAAAAGCAAACTTTTTCAAGCGTTTAAACTGAATTGATTGTTACAAAGCGGAAATTAATATTTTTTTCTTAATTCTAATTTACATTCAGAGGAACATTTAATTTGAAACAGTTTTTAATCTAAAATCTGTTCACTAACTGTGAAGTCATTCTACAAAATTAGTTGTTTGAATTGTTTTCTAAATATCTGAATAAAACTTCAAACGCTTACATACTTATTTGATTTGACAATATTTCAGTAATATGTAAATTCAAATAGTTTTGGCGGGCCGAGTCTCTGATGTCAACACAAGCCACATAATTATTATACATTGACCGAAAACACAAAATTTCCATGAGAAGAATGGAAAAACTTACAAATTAAATTTGCACAAATTTCAAAATTAAAATGAATGAGGATAATTAAATATTGTAATAGTACGGGAGGGTAAATAAATTTTCCCATGCTACATAAATGCGTTTAAAAATGTTTTACTAATTAAAATGTGTGTATTTTTTTTTATATTTTACAGATCTCTAGCCTTGCTATTTTTCATGCTCACACAACAGATTAGTTTGGCACATTCAAAGCACAGGGTAAGCTTCGTAATGATTTTATGGTTCACACCTCTCCTTTATAAATAAGTTTCATTGCCTTTTAATTTATGGATTCTGTGGTCGGCTACATACATTTTCTGTAGCAACACAAAAAGGGTTTTATGAGAGTTTGAGCTTAATGAGGCATTAAATTGATTTCTTTAAAATTAAATTATTTAAATTGGAATATAAGAACAACTTAAAGAAAGTTTCAGTAGATACATATGAAAAATAAGTAAACCTTGCTATGAGTTTGGTTTTTGTTTAAAAATTATGAAAAATTTAATGATTAGAATTTGTGTGTAGGTTCTTTTGGGAAGCATACATGTTAACTTCACACGACATTTTAATTGTTTATCTTACCATGACAGCACATCGTACATCGACATAAACGGCAACACGGAGCAAACTTATACTTACCCGAAACTTATATAATTCCGGGCGGTGAAGGGACTGAATCCGAATGGGGACAATGGAGTACACCATCAGAGTGCTCGAGAACATGCGGGGGTGGTGTAGCTTATCAAAGTAGAGAATGTTTAATTATTGGTCGAGACGGCGAACCAAGCTGTCAGGGTGGGAATAAGAAATATTTTTCATGTAACACACAAGACTGTCCCGATGACGAAGCTGACTTTAGACATCAACAATGTTCATATTTTGATCGAACGCCATTTGAAGATGTTTATTATAATTGGGTGCCATACACAAAAGCTCCGAATCCGTGTGAGTTGAATTGCATGCCAAGGGGCGAGCGCTTTTATTATCGACATAAATCGAAAGTTATTGACGGCACGCGTTGCAACGACCACTCAGTTGATGTGTGTGTTGATGGTCAATGTCAGGTATGTTGTAGGTTTAAAATAATATTGAATCTTTAAATTATTAAAATTCATTACAGCCTGTTGGATGTAATCTGATGTTGGGTTCACCAGCTCGTGAGGACAAATGTAGAAAATGTCAGGGAGATGGCTCTTCATGTAAAACAGTAACTGGTCTTCTAGACATGAACAATTTACAAGTCGGATATAACGACATTTTGTTAATTCCACAAGGAGCGACCAATATTGCTATTCAAGAACGTTCGCCTTCTAACAATTACATAGCAATTCGTAATCTCACAGGACATTATTATCTCAATGGCAACTATAGGATAGATTTTCCACGACCAATGACATTTGCTGGGAGTTTATGGACATATGAACGAAAACCGAACGGATTTGCTGCTCCTGATAAGATAACATGTTTAGGCCCAATAGATGAAGCCGTTTATCTTGTGGTATGGGTCATTAAGAAGCTTAAACAAGACATTGTTTTGTGATTTTTTCGTTTCCTTTTCTTTCGCTTTAGCTTTTGTCTCAAGATCAAAATGTTGGAGTAAATTATGAATATAGCGTGCCGCGAGCTGCAGCTGCTCCCGAAGAACCGGAAATATATTCATGGGCTTTCACGAAATTTGAAGTCTGCTCTAAATCTTGTGGTGGTGGTCATCAAGCAAGAAACGTCACGTGTACGAAGCAAAGAACATCAGAAGAAGTTGATGAGAGTTTATGTGATTCATCTCAAAAGCCAGCTGAATGGCAAAAATGTGGACTTTTGGATTGTGCACCTCAATGGATTGAAGGAGAATGGGGAAAATGTTCAGCACCTTGTGGACAAAGTGGAAAAAAAGAACGAAAAGTTCATTGTGAGAAAATCAACGCAAATGGGTAATTTTATGAATATTTTTAAAAATTGAATTCATTTCAGTAAAAGATATGTTGAAAGAATTTACTTAAGAGATTTTTTTTCTGAATCAGAGCGGTCACTGTCGTTGATGATGAAGTGTGTCTGGAACTTGTTGGAAATAAACCTGCAACTGAGAGCTCATGTAATGAAGGCAAAATTTGCCCTTCTTGGTTCACTGGTAAATGGCAACCGTGCAATAAACTTTGCGGTGAAGGAAAGAAAACGCGACAAGTCATTTGCTATCGAAAAGAGGAAAATGGAGATATCACAGTTCTAGACGACAAAGATTGTTCAGATGAAAAACCAGAGGAAGAAATGGATTGTATGATAGTACCTTGTGAAGGCGTTGAATACATAACATCAAGTTGGAGTGGTGTAAGTAATGGGTTATTATTTTTTCGTTAATTTATATCACAAAATTTTCTTTCTTTTGTCTACTCTATCAGTGTGACGTATGCGGTGCAACTGTTGAGACGAGATCGGTTCAGTGTGCATCGAAAGCTGGAAAAATTTATAATGAGACTTTCTGTAACAAGAAGCCAAAGCCAGAGTTATCCAGACCTTGCAATGCAACGCCTTGTGATTATGCATGGTTTACATCACAGTGGACAAAATGTTCAGCAGAATGTGGAAAAGGCCTTGAAAATCGAGTTGTTGTTTGTGGAAAACTCGAAGGAGATGTTATTAAAAAAGCTGACGAGAGTAAATGCGAAGAAATAGAAAAGCCCGAGGATGAAAGAGAATGTGATGGACCAAAAGAATGCCCCGCTCAATGGTTCGCTGGGCCATGGACAAAATGTTCAAAACGTTGTGGTGGCGGAATACGAACACGTAAAGTTATTTGCTTGGGGATTGATGGTGCAACAGAAACGAACAAATGTCAAGAAGACAAAATTTTGTTTGCAAGTGATGATTGTAATATGGATGCTTGTGTCGATGATGAACTTTTACCTGTAGATACAACAAGTCAACCAGTTGAAGAAGATGACGAAAGTGAAGAATGGTGTGACGAAGATTATGAAGAGATGACGACTGATCAAAATGGTGTTCTTAAAGTGACAAGCGACTATACAGATTTGTCTTCAGGTATTGATTTCTCATCGATGGCTTCCACTGAATCATCACCCTTAACAGAAGAACTTATGCTTAGTGACGCAACAGGTTTTGAGACGGATGTAACAGACGAAACTACAGATATGTCTATAGAAGGTTCAGGATCATCAACATCAGATATGGACCTTGAATCAAGATTTGATGGAAGTGGAACTGATGAATCGACATCAGTTACATCAGACAAAACTATGATGACTTCATCCGGTCTCAGTTCAATTTCTGAAGAAAGTACTTCTGCTAGTAGTGATGATACAACAGAATCTCTTTCTTCTCTTGATTCGACAAAAGATTCGACAGAAGAGTCAGATATTACAACAGAATCAGATTCAGACTCATCTACCTCATCACCAACTTCTGAAAGCTCTTCAGAAACCTCGAAAAGTTCAGTAGATGGTAGTTCTTCATCTATTTCTACTGAAAGCAGCTCATCTTCTGATTCTACTGATAGCAGCATTTCGTCTGATTCTACTGATAGTAGCTCATCTTCTGATTCCACTGATAGTAGCATTTCGTCTGATTCAACTGATAGTAGCATTTCGTCTGATTCAACTGATAGTAGCTCATCATCGTTCTCTACTGACAGCTCTTCGACAAGTGATGATACAACTACTGAAAGCGATTCATCAACATCAGAGTCAATAACAACTGAATCATCGTCATCCGAAAGTTCAACTGATCAAGACACTATAATTCAGTCAACAACGAGAGATTTAGCTGACTATGAAATTCAAACAAGCAGTTTTGATTATAGCACAGAGTTAAGTACTGAAGAAGTATCAGAAGAATCGTCAAGTGAGGTTACAACAGTTTCAAGCGAAACATCAAATTCAGAAACGACTGAATCTGATGGAACGTCAGACTCTACAGACTCAACAGACACATCAGACTTCACGGACACTACAGACTCAACAGACAAATCAGACTCCACTGACAATACAGAATCTACAGATACATCAGATTCAACGGACACTACAGATTCAGCAGAAACTACAGAGACGACAGAGACGACAGAAGAATTCACAGGGTCTACTGATTCAACTGATTTCACAAGTACGACTGAAAATTCTAGTACTGAAGCTACAGAATCAACGCAAACCGATGAGTCATCAACAACGGGAGATGAAAGCACAGAAACTTCAGATACATCAACATCATCAGATTTTGATTCTTCAACTGTGGATATTTGGTCAACGACCGATTCTTCAGATTATGATGATAGCTCAACGATGACTTCTGCATTTGAAAAAGCTGTTCGAGCTGAGCTTAAACCCAAAAAATGCAAGCCGAGACCAAAGAAACCAGCAGCATGTTTTGTATCAGAATATGGTTGTTGCCCAGATAACAAAACAGCTGCCATTGGACCATTCAATGAGGGTTGTGAAATTCCAGAAACTTGTAAGGAAACCAAATTTAATTGCTGTTCTGATGGTCTCACTCCAGCGAAAGGAACTAATGGCAAAGGTTGTCCATCAGAAGACTGTAAAGATACTTTGTTCGGATGCTGTCCAGATGCCGTATCTGTCTCGAAAGGAAACAACAACGAAGAATGTCCGGAACCAACCACCACACCAGTTCCAACAACAAAGCCTACGACAACAAAGACCACAGCGAAAACTAAATCAGGCGATACAACAACAGCTGCAGGAACTACAAAAGTTCCAGAAGTTGAGTCAAGACTTCAAGGATGTTTTGCTTCTGAATTTGGATGTTGTCAAGACAATAGCACAGAAGCGACAGGCCCCAATTATGGTGGATGTTCAAGCTGCATTAATACACAATTTGGGTGCTGTCCCGATAACGAAACACCAGCTCATGGCCCACTTCGTGAAGGGTGTTGCTTGCTCTCTCCCTTCGGATGTTGCCCAAATAATATCAATGAAGCTAGAGGCCCTAGTCTTGAAGGATGTGGTTGTGAATACTCACCTTACGGTTGCTGTCCTGATGGTACAACTTCAGCTAAAGGGCATGACAATGAAGGATGTGGATGCAAAGACACACCTCATGGATGTTGCCCAGATGAGATTACTCCAGCAGCTGGTGAAGAATACTCAGGTTGTCCTTGCCATTCTTATCAGTTTGGATGCTGTTCTGATGGTGAAACTATTTCTACCGGTCCACATAGTCAGGGTTGTCATTGTTCTAGTACACCGTTTAAATGTTGTTCAGACAACGTTACACCAGCAAAGGGGCCTGACTTTGAAGGATGTGATTGTTCCACAAGTCAATTTGGTTGTTGTCCTGATGGTGTAACTGAAGCTAAAGGTAACAGTTTTGAGGGATGTGAAGATAAAGTCCCAGATTCACCACAAAAAGCATGTAGTCTTAAACGTGACATGGGAACGTGTAGTGACAACTATACAGTTAAATATTTCTTCGATAGTGAGTATGGCGGCTGTAGTCGTTTCTGGTACGGTGGTTGTGGTGGCAACGAAAATCGCTTTGACAGTGAAATTGAATGTAAGGAAATTTGCGTTGAACCGACAGGAAAGGATAGTTGCCTTTTACCTAAAATTCATGGACCATGCACAGGATATTATCCAATGTGGCATTACGACAGCGACCGCAATACTTGTACACAATTTATTTATGGCGGTTGTCTTGGTAACGCTAATCGTTTTGAGAAGATTGAAGATTGTCAAGCACAATGTGTTGTAGATGAAAAGATTCGTAAGTAAATTTAAGGAAGAAACATAACAATAGGGAAAGTTCAATGAAATTTCAAAAAAATTAATAAATTACAGCATCGTGTGATCAACCTATTGAACAAGGATCATGTAGTGGTTCATTCGAACGCTGGGGCTACGATAAAGAAAGAGACATTTGCGTACCATTCAATTATGGAGGCTGTAAAGGAAATAAAAATAACTTCGCGACTGAAAATGCTTGCAATTATCAATGTAAAACACCAGGAGTGGGCAAAAGTAAGTATAACATTAACAAAAGTGTTAAATGTTGATTTTCAAAGGATGGTTTTAAATTTTTCATTAAATCAAAGGATTGTTGTACTAATAACTACCTAATTTTTTGATTAGATATGTTACTTTTTTATCTTAATTTGAACGTTTATTTTTGTTATTTCTATTAACATAAAATCATTTTGTGAGAGCTCATCAACTAACAAAGGAAATAATATTATTTGTTTGTTTTTCTGTTTCATTATTTACTTCCATTTGATAATTTAACAAAACCTAGAAAGTTGCAATCTACCTAAAGAGTCTGGTGATTGTGAAGAGAAACATGCTCGTTGGTATTTCTCCCAGAATGATAACAAATGCATGCCATATTATTATTCTGGGTGTGGTGGAAATGACAATAACTATGACTCCGAATATTCATGTGCTGACCAATGTCCACCTACTGTCGGTGAGAAAAATTTTAAAAAAATTCTCCTGAATATTTTAATTGAAATAAGAAATAAACGAAATACTCTTTGAACAGTTAAAGACACATGTCAGCTTCCTGCTGATATTGGTAATTGCCAAACATATGTCGCTCAATGGTACTACGATACAAAGATTAAGAGATGCCGTCAATTCTATTATGGAGGTTGCGGAGGAAATGATAATCGCTTTGCAACTGATAGTGAATGTGAGCAACGCTGCAGCACTAGGGAACAAGAAAAACCAAGAACACGCCATCCTGAAACTCAAAGACCACCGGAACAACCAACGAGACAAACAAGTCGACCAATGATTGAACGTCAAAAGGATATATGTTTATTACCTTATCAATCTGGAACATGCCGTGAACAACACAGAAGATTTTATTACGATCGCGGCTATGGAATTTGCAGTCAATTCTTATATACTGGCTGGGATGGGAATGAAAATAACTTTGAGACTCTTGATGAATGTGAAACTCTTTGTGATGATGCTGTTGGGCTTTGTGACTTGGCTCCACTATACGGTCGATGTTCTGAAAATATCACAAGATGGTACTTTGATGCTTATACGCAAGAGTGTCAAGAATTCGAATTCAGTGGATGTTATGGGAATAAGAATAATTTCGAAGACAAAAGATCATGCGAATATGCTTGCAGACGTCCCGATGAAACTCGCACCTCAGAAGCTCAAACAATACAGACAGCTCGACCTACATCAAGACCAGCACCACAACCTGAAGAAGTAAATGATTTCTACTCAATTAAATGGTTTTATACATACTTAAAATTGATTTCAGAGAGTTTCTGAAGATGTTTGCAGTCAACCAGAAGACCCAGGATCCTGTGATGAATATGTTATCCTTTATACTTTCAATTCAACTTCAAGGCAGTGTAAACGTTTCTATTATGGCGGTTGCGATGGCAATGATAATCGATTCAACTCCCAAGATGAATGCGAGTCTACGTGCTTAAGCCCCGAAGTTGACAGCAGAGGTAATTTAAAATATAAACATGATCATTTTTTTAAGAAAATTCTTTACACATTTTTTTCCCCACAATATCATTTCACAGAAGGAGTCTGTAATTAGAAGTAGATTTTCGTTTAATCTTTCAAAGCGTTTTGTAGAAGATTTTTGGCATGAGTAGATTGACAATTTAAAAATTGAAATATTAACGAATACTTAAAGCTACTAGAAACAAACTTCATTTTGATAAAAATGAAAATTTAATATTCTAATGTACATGATTTTTAAATGTTTTTTTTTATTTTTATTTTCTACAGTTCAACCTGAGCGAGAACGTGATTGCGACCAATATATTCGACACTGTGAATCTTTACGTTGTCCTTACGGACTACTTAAGTCTTATGATGCAGGTTGCGAACAGTGCGAATGTGAAGATCCGTGTGCTGAATATGAGTGTCCAATTGATAGCAAGTGTTCGGTTGACGTAAGTGATCAAGAAGGCGTGACAGTCTTTGTGCCAGTTTGCCGAAGATTCACAAAGCCTGGACAGTGCCCGAGACTTGAACAACGAACAGCTGCATGTGAGGTTGAGTGTCATGACGATGCTGATTGCAGAGGAGATTATAAATGTTGCTCAGCTGGTTGCTCAAACATTTGTACTCCACCAATTGATAACAGGGTGAGACCAACAACACAAGCACCTTACCATCCTGAGGCTCAAGCTCCAAGTCTTCAAGAGGTATCCGAAGAAGATTTGCAACCTGTTGCCAGAGAAGGTGGTGTTGCTACTTTAAGATGCTTTGCAACTGGTTTCCCACCTCCCTCGATCACATGGAAACGAGGTGGATTGGAGGTAATTAACATTTTCCTGTCTCTGGAATACTTTAAATTTTATTACTGTTTTGTTAGTTGAAAACAAATCACGGAAGATTTGTTCTTACATCAAATGGAGATCTTCAAATTGTTCAACTACATCGGACTGATGCTGGAACCTATGTATGTGTAGCGTATAATGGGATTGGAAACAGTATAGAACGTGAGGTAACACTCACAGTTGACGGTAAGTTCAAAATTCATTTTTATGGTTACGGTTTGTTTTTTAATTATTTGGTTCTTATAATTAAGTTTCTGTTATTTGTAATTTTGCACTTTCTTTATTGGTTTTGTTTTTATTTTTCTATTTCTTATTTAATGTTGGTTGCTTACTTTTGAACTCTTTTAATCGCTCCTTAACACTTAGAACCGGTGGATGGTAGTGCATACATCTTAGGTGACACTAACTCTACAGTTTTGGCAATTATTTCTGAACCAGCTACACTTAGATGTTTAGCTGGTGGATATCCCAAACCGTTTGTGACATGGTGGAGGGGAGATAAAATTTTGCCTTTGAAAGATGATCGTATTGAAATTACTCGTGATTATTCACTCAACCTTAACAGTGTTGATCTCTATGATTTGGGCCCTTACGTTTGTCAAGCTTACAACTCAATAGGCAGACCAGTTTCAATTCAAGTAACTCTCAGAACACACGGGCCTGTCAATCCACATAGCGAGGAAGATTACAAGTATCTTCAATATGTTGATAATTATCCTCTTACAACAGCTCCTCCGAGAATCCCAAATCCTTCTCCCACACCTCGCACAAGACCTAGTTATGTCCAATCTACTCCACCTCACATTACTTCTGCACCTCGAATAAGCCTTGGTAAGTTACTGCTTATTGCATGCATGATGATTTGCATTAAAAACTAAACCTAATTTAACTATTTATTTACACTCTTCTTATTAAATAAATCAATTATGTTTATATAATTAACACAAGTTTCTTTTGAAAATTTCAAATTTTTATTAATGAATCCTTTATGTTAAATAGTTCCAGTAACTGCTAACATCATGCTTCCAAAAGGACGAGTTTACAGCGTAGGAACAGACATTTTACTTAATTGCAATGTAACGGGAGAGCCTACACCAGAAATTACGTGGTACAAAGACAATCGACAACTGGATCCATCAGATCATATAGAAATGCCAGGTAACAAATGTTAAAAACATTTATTAACATTTTTAAACAATTACCATAAATTTTTTATCCTACTAGAACCAAATAGAGTAATTATCGTTGGTGCACATCCATCTGATTCAGGAAACTATCGATGTGTAGCTCGAAATAATTACAGTCAAGCTTTTGCAGCAGAAGTAATAAGCGTAGAAGGTTTGTTATCATTTTTTGTATCAAAAAAAAATATTAATAAATACATTTTATGGTTCTCAGGTTTCCACATACCTTCTGATTGTACTGATCACCAGAAATTTGCCAACTGTGCACTTATTGTAAAAGGCAATTACTGTAATCACAAATATTATGCCAAATTTTGTTGCCGGTCATGTACTCTTGCTGGTCAGCTTCAGTCGCATCCGAACCAAATTTAATCAGACGTCAGACGATACATGAAAATCTCTTCTGTTTTCAAATTTTTATTTTATTTTTTTTTTTCGTTTCATTTCCCAAAGATAAAATGAAAATCTTTTAATTGAAATAAATTTTGTTATAGCTCTTCCTCCTTTCATCTTGTTTTACTTAAGTGATTGAGCTTAAGTAAAAGTAAGAATGAGGACGAGTAATAGATATAAATACATAAGCGAAAAAATATTGTGTTCATTGTTCCTACGTTTAGTAATTTATAACGTTAAGGACGATCAAAATCTTCATTATAAATTTATTAAAAGCCAATATCCTTCTGTCGGAATGAAAAATCAATTCAATTTATAAATGAGATATGAATGTTTAATTTGAAATATTTACATAGTTTTAATTCTCTATCAGTGCCATGAACAAAATTTAATGTTATAAAAAATATGTACCTTCTTTATACACGTAACCTTTATTTGTGAATGATAAAGTTTCATTATTTACATTCTCATTTCACCGATAACACAATTTTAATCTGAGTGAGTGCCTTTACTGCATTTTTTCTCTCTCCTTCTCAGCACTTGTGTACCCGTCAATAGCTTCCATTTGCATAATAAAACTGGGGAATTAAATTGTTTTGTATATGTAGTGAGATTTTTTAACAAATGAATATTGAAAAAAAGCCATTCAAAACAGCCATATTCTGTATACACATATGTATTCTATGTATAGCGAATGTATGAATCAAGGCAGATACAGTATTTAAATAAACAACGCTGAAGGATTCTAACAAAACTTGAGTAGCGAGGCAATTCATTTCCATTACCTAAATATTAGAAGCAAAAACAAACTTAAACGAATTAAAAATGCCTGCCCAGTGTATGAGTGTTAACGATTTTATTATTTTCTTCATCCAAAAGCTTGAAAGTTTTCAAATTTTGAGAACTCTGAAATCCCTGGATGATGATTAATAGCAATAATACCAATAGCATTAAAATATATTTGAGATGAAATTTATGTTTGAAGAGGAAGAAGCAAGATGAGATAATTATGAAAAAAAGAACTAAATAATATAGAAATGACGAATTATTATTGGAGTTTTTTATTCGTTGAAATTTAAAAAGAAGGTTTAAAAGATGAATGGAACGAGATTACCGGTTAAGGATATCAAATAACAATTAAAATATATGTATGAATGATACTTAAATTTTACTCTCATCTCAAATACATATTTCTAATAGCACTGGAAAAGCGATGCTTCACATGTAGTTCATATAGTCAGTTATATGAAAATTTTTGATACAAAATAAAATTCAACTTTCTGGAATTATCGAAACGAAAATATTTTATGTGAATAAAATTAAAAATAAAATTCATAAAGAATTTTGATTAGTATTATTATAATATTCAATTGGTTTCGACAATCTCGATAAGATGATAACAAAGGTTTTCGATTTAAATATTTCTCATTTATTGACGCTAAATAATTCAGAATAACAATTTTGTCTTAATTGAATAAAGAGATGATAAATTTATGAAGTTCTGGCGTGGGCGAATAAATATTCATCACTTTGATGAAAGAAAAATCTTTTATCACCCTTTTAATCAATCTAAATTACTAATAATATTAGTCTAAAACATTCCCTGTGATGCCTTCGAACAACATAAAGCATGTCGTATTTTATCCATGATACTTTCATTGGTCCGTGGTGGAAGTTCCAAGTGCAATTGAGAATCACAGTCGTCATCGTCCTCGTTAGATGATTTATCTCCATCATTCGAGTCAGATTCAATAATCGTCATCTCTTGAATACTGAACGTATCAAGTTCTTCTTTCAGTTTTGTTTGCTTTCGTCTTAATTTTCTCTTATTCACAGGAAAAAAAGACGCAACTTCCTCGTCGCTAAGATTTTTTATATTATTATTTTTGAAAGGAAATCAAAATGTGTCTGATTTTTATTTTATTCAATCATTCTGTTTACACA